CCTCTCCCTCCTTTATATCATTCTGGCAAAGAATCCCCAGGCTTCACTTCTGGTAGAATCACCACACATGACTCAGCATCCAAACTGTTAGACATTACCAAACAGTTCTAAATAGCCAGGGAATCCAGCTGGATCTCCAGCCATTGACCCATGTGTTGATATGCCATGCTTAACTCGCGTATTCCATACTTTCTGGTGCATGAGGGATCATGCCTTCAACATTTGGCCAGTTTATTCCAAAGAACTAGTTGAATCCTTCACTTGGACCACATCGACATCCCTTCAACCCTCATCTGGTGATCTGGGTCATTTAGATACAATTTTTACCCTGTGTACAACTGTTAGGATACATGGAAATATCCAAAAATATCCTATATCATCCTCCAGGATTAACTTCTTTATTTCCTCATCATTTCTTAGATCTTATCATGATTTGTTTCCTTAATTAGTTAAGATTATGATTAGTATAACTAAGGGTTGGTGCTATAGGATTTTATAAAACACATTAACATATTGTAATATATCTCTATTTATATAACAATTACTGCTTCATTCTCTGTTATCTCTCTTCCTCTTTCCATACTTAAATCCCCATAATTTCAACAATGTATTACACAGAAGTATCATCCTCTGTGACCAATTCTTGACACTACTCTGCTGCTGAACTACCTAAAATTAGAGTTCTACTTTATTGTCATGATTCTTGCTTTGAATTAACTGTCTCTTGTCTTATTTTTTCTCCCATGTTGGGTACGACTACCATGTCAACCTTCACGCATTTTTCAGTGCTTTCACTCCCTTTTGATGTGTTATTCCTTCCAATCAGTTCATCGTTTTACGAGCTGTTTTCCAACTGTTGTGTCGTCCTTTCAGAAGCCTTGATTATGTTCTTTATTCCAGCCATCTCCTTGATTGGTTTCTCTTGTAACTGTGACAACGCTGGCCTCCTAAAATCCATGCTTTTCTTTGGGTTTTGACCTTCATCAGGCATTTTACTGTCCTTTTTCTAACAATCCTTAGTCTTGCTCTCTATTCTGGCCATCTCCTGCATTGCTTTGTTCTACTGTGATGAGCACAGTCACACGATTCTGGCCAAAGATGAGCTTAGCCTGTGGCTTTCCCAAAGAATTCAGAATGGCCCGCAGCTTTACTAGAATCATTAGTTGACTCCACAATAGTCTCAGATAATTGTCTCTACAATCTGAAATTATATAGTTTTATTTCTTTTATTTAAAGGTTTATTTGTAACAAGCTTAAAGCTTAGTAAGCTCTTGAGGGGGCGTGTTAGAATATAAAAAAATACCCAAAAATATCTTCTCATATCTTAGATTATCCCCTAGGATTAGTTTCCCTATTTCCTCATTATCTCTTACAATTAGTTACCATATTCCCTTATATTATCATGATTGATTCCTTAATTAGTTAGCATTATGATTAATATAAATATGGGTTAGAGAAGTTTTATATAACACGTGAACACATTGTAATACATCTCTGTTAATGTATAAATTGGTGTTTCATTCACTGTTATATCTCTTTCTCTTTCTATACTGAAACCCCATAGTTTCAACAACAAACCATAGGTATTTCATTATTTCTTTTATCTCTTTTATACTTAAACCCCATAATTTTAACAAACCATAGTATTGGTAACAGGTATTTCATTATTTATTTCTTTAAATTCTCTGTCTATTGTCACCGTAGCAGATGGCTCCACTGGTCCCGCCCATAGGGAGTGATAAATGCACAACCTACTGATTCTATCACTTCATCTTCTGTTCTGTATTTACCTAATTTTTCTTTCAACTTGTTATCTGTTGGAGAATTCACCCATACTCAATTTTGTTATTCACTTTTTTTATATCCCACTCATTATGACTTCTAGAATCAGGGGACAAATTATTGCTGGTACATGTCAGATACACCACGGTAAGAGCCACTTTCAATTGCAAGCAATGTGATACATTCGTGAAACAAATGTCAAGCAGTACAAGAATGGCAGAGTACAAGAAAACTTTTTCCTACCTCTATCTCCACGAGGACCAAATTGTATGCAACCAGATTCATTCTGTGCAGCACCATATGATCCTGCATTTGATGTAGAAAATAAATAGTACATCTTTACTTAAAGGAGTTTAGCTTACATAAGTAGTAAGAATGTAAGATAACCATATACATTAACATGCTTGCATTCCTAGTTAACAGAGGATATCTAACCTGAAGCCGACAAATACACAAGGAGAATACCATCAGGGGGAAGCTCCTCACATATTGTGGCAAGAACCTAACCATTAAAAGGAAAAAACCAAATTATAGTCAAATAATCTGGAAATCCAAAACACAATAATGCAAGAAATAGTCACTCTGACACTAACTTTAACCTTTCTATTTTAGTTGCAAAGAAGCAGTAAGGTTCAAACCTATCACATTTTACCCAGAACGAACAGTCTGGTACTCTGATTCCCCCCATGATAAATTGATAATTTCAGCCAAACTTATGTTCCTTAGAAGCCATCATAAAATCATCATGTCTTCATAAATTATTAAATTTTACAAGCTTGGGAAGCCCAAATCAAAGACAAAGAACTTCTAATCCAAAAGAAAGTGTAATTGACAACAATCAGGTTATTGGTCCAATAGCTAATCATTTTTATTGAGTAATAAGCTACTAATATCTAGAGACATTCTAGGACTTCCAGCATTCAGAATGAAGAATCATGGTCCAGTTGGATCATAGTTTGTGAGTGATTAAGTTTGAAAGCCTTAAAACTGTTTCAAGGGAAATGCTCTTTTGATATGCAAAGGAGAATGGGCAGGTTTGCTATTACCAACCACAACTCTTATAAAAGCTTAAACCATTAGGTAGAGGCAAATGAATAGTTTTGTCTGTAAAATGCCCCTTGTATAGCAGGTTTTTAAACTTGAAACGTGGATAATGCAAAGAATTAGGAATTCTCAATGGAGATGGAGGTATATTATAAGCATAACATAAGAGATGGAGAGTTGTCAATGACCTGGGCCAATGGTCTTGCAACCATACAGCATCTTACTTCCTTGGGGATATGTTAGACACAGTTGCTTGGGCACAATTTTAAATGATGGAAGCCCATTTTATACTGAAGAAATAAGTGGCTGGTTTACTAAAGAAGGAACAAAGAAAATGATAGTGCAAGAGACAAAATTCAATTAGGGGTAGGGAGGTGATTCTTCTGGAATCATGAGGCACAAGGAACCTGAAAATTCTGTTAGAGGAAGAGCCCAGAAACAAACAGCAGATGATAGACAGGAGGTTGTGAAATAGAACATTCATCATATACAGAAGTACCCTCCTGGATATCCTTTTAGTTATTTCTTTCATTGAATCTTCTATTAAACTTTAAGTACTTCTCTATTGCTAGTAGTTAATTAAGGTTTAAAATGCAGTCTGTTCTTCACTCTATCAGAAAAACTTGACACTAAATCAAAACTCAGAATGCATCGATTTTCACATCTGTTCTTCATCCCCTCACCAAGTCTCGAGACCTTTCTTGTCACAAAAAAGAAACAAAATAAAATAAAACATAATGCAAAATAAAACAAACAGTAAAACTGTTTAAGGTCTTGTTGTTTTTGGTGTCTTTAAGAACATAGAATACACTTGATGGGTTTGGAATAGTTAGGCTCTAAGCTCAAACCCTAAGATAGTACAGAGCCTACCCTATATCTGTTGTTGTGCCACCTGCATTGCCATGCTACAGATCAGTAGCCTTGGGCATGATGGAGAGTGTTAAAAAGCCACCTTAATTGTGGTCATCCGTAGCCTGCCTTAGTTGTGGCCTCTTTGGCGGCTGCCATAATTCAGCCTCAAGGGTGGTGTTTAATCAACATTGACTAAGAGGAACTCAATTAGAATAGGCTCCATCAAAATGGTTGGGATGTAAAAAAAAAAATTAAGGATAGGCATGTCCCTACCTCACATGTTAGTGGCGGTCAGGTTATTCATGTACTTTTATAGATAAAAATCAAGATTAAATAGCTTGAACTTCAATTTGTTGATTTTTCTTTCAATACATTAAAAAAGAAAAATGTTAGTTTATTACAATTTACAAGACTCTCTGACTTCAGCCCTGATTCTAGATATCATCCTTATGAGGATGGGATTGCTGTTTAAACTCCATCCTCTTCTAGCTGTGTTAGTATCACGATTAGGATTCTTATTATATTTACAATTGTTATTGAGCAAGGCTTGTACTACTACAACAATTGTATTTGACCTAGAATCTAGATTATTGGTATAGTTTAAATATTACATTACATGTCACATAAAATAAGAGTCTCACTAATGAAATATTCTCTCATTTCTTGTTTACATTAAATCTGTGAACTTTATTGATGGTGTCAAAGCACACAATTCAATCCAAGCACTCGTGGGTTTTGGGCGCATGGAAAACTATTGAAAGATAACAAATAAGTAACTTATATTTTTTAATACTTACAGCTTTCTAGTTTACATTAAATCCCTGAACTCTTTTCATGGAGTCAAAGCACAAATTCAATCCAAGCAATTGTGGGTTTTGGGCACATGGAAAACTATTGAAAGATAACAAATAAGTAACTTATATTTTTTAATACTTACAGCTATAAAATGTGTCAGTGAAGGACGGTATAACACAGCTTTTCGTGGGTTTGCTGGTAAGGTAGGATCAGCAATGTCTTGGATGTAACTAATACGACTAGTCCCAGTAGCCCCATTCTGACTAAGTTTTGAACCACTAGACTGGTAAAATGAGCCACTAGGTTCCCACTCCAAACATTGAAGCATCCTAAAAGTGTCAATCGTGAGTTCTGAATACTTTACCTGTTCAGGAATGTCAGTTGGAAACATATAGAAAGATCATAACATGTTATAGAATATCTTAGAAGCAGTAAAAAACTACATGATTTTTTCATTTTCAACAAATTGCTCTTCAAATAAGAGCACCAAAAGAGTCCAGGATACCAACCTCATTTAGATGGAAGCTACTTAATACAGCATCTCGTAGTCTCAAATGTCGCTTTGTGATGGCAGCAGCAACATGCTGTAAAGTATCGGGATGAGGGTCCAAAACTAGACTGTATCTCAAGGGCCTGATATTCATAAAAGCAGTGTCAGCTTTTAAAAATCTGACTATTTCCTGAACCACCAGCTTCCATTCTTTAAAGTCACTTTCCTGTAACCAAATTGTTTGAAGGTCACTTCCAATACATCTGCAAACATAAATCTATTAAAATATATTCTGGATACTGGACAGCATCATGTTTTCCATGGAACACTCCAATTGGCAGTCTAGTACAATGTAGCTTAGTTATTCTATTCTAGAGGTGCAGTACAATGATATTTCTATGAAGCTGTGCAGTTAGTTTAGATGTTTACTTATCAACAAATGCATTAATTCATCAAAAGTCAAAGACAGCAGAATAACATTATATATAAAAGCATTCATATAAGCCTTCAACTATTAGCTTAAGGCATTTGGAAGAGCTTTTGCAGGGTTTATCATACAAGTACTAAGCCAGTGTATTAAGCTTTCAAGAGTGGCTTATAACCTTCCAGTAAGTTCTTCTAAGCTTATTTTTAATAAGCTTCAGTCAAAATAATCTATAAGCTCTCATGTATTAACTAAGCTCTTGTTGAATAAGTACTTAATTATGCTATTTAACCAAACTTGGCATTTTGATCAAGAGATCAGAAGTTTGATCACTGTCGCATCTACTCTTCTAAATATAGTTGAATTTTAGCATAAGGCAAAATGTATATGCATGGTCTACACTTCAAACCCAAAGGGTTAATGTGTGTCTGTGATGAGCATATTAGACATTATACCATTCATATAAGTCATTGCTTAATAGCTTATAAGCTGTTAGGATAGTTGGTCCTTGAAACTAGGTTATATATCAATTCTATGATAGAATTGGGAACTCCACTGTAATAAATCCTGGCTTAGGCCAGCATATTTACATTACTCAGTGGTCCTAAGTTAGAGAAACACTATTAGTTAGCTTACGTAGCTAAATCTATTTGTTCCTGTCCTTACAGCATTTGCAAATTACCCTCATCATCTTAATTGATCTACCTCCAAGATATAAATGCAAATAGATAGCAAGACCTATATTTCAAAGAACATATTGGCTGCATAGTAGTGGTCTAGTAGACACTAGACAACCATTAGCAAGGCAGCAAGCCAAGCCAACTCTTCAGATTCAGAACATGGATCTTTACATAGGTATTTGCAGAAAACAGAATGGCTAAATACAATTTTCAAATACAGCACCTGTTGTATATCATCATGAATTATAGTTATTGATGTATGTTCTAATGAGCTATGCAAGAGAAAATTAACATGGAAAGACCTGGAATGTTCTCTTGCATTCATCAACTAACACTTTAAGCTGATTAACCAATTGCTGCACCATTTCCCTTCGGTTCAAAACCAAACACACCATTATGAATCTAGCAAGAAACCTCAATTGTTTGTTTGCAATATTCACGTCTTGAAATAACCCCTCCTTAAAATACTCCCGGGTCAATATGGCTTCATAGAATATATATGACTCTGACAGATAATTTGCATCACTTGTGCGCATGTACTGCCCAAAATACAGTTGCCCAATGCGAGATGCTATCTCACCAATCTCCCATCTCCTAAGCCCAGCTTCAACCAGCTTCTGCCGATTCTCCTGCTGAAACTTCCATAATTGTGTGTAAACCTTGAACACCTTATAAAAGTATGTATCATGCCTACAAAAAAGCCACACACATGGTAATCTTTCTATATATTTTAGAACCAACAATATTAAATTGAACCACAGGAATCTGAGGGCGAAATGAAATCGTAGCGAAAGATGAAAGAGGCAGTTATGATTAGGTTTGATTTTGGGGAGAGGAATGAAAATGGGACCTGCTGCGTTGGTAGAAAGGAAGGTCTCTGATTTTGGAGAACTTCTTGTCGGATTTGTAGACGAGAGTCAAGAAAAAATCAATAAATGGGATGCTGCTGATTTTGCATTTGCTGCTGCTGCGAACACATCGCACTCCAACGACGCCGTTTCAGCAATCAATCAATTCTAGTGCCCACGCACTCGCCGCGACTCGCCAACAAACAACTTCACTCTGCTTATGTTATGCGCACCTACGGGGTTGGTTGCCTTTTCTCAACGTTTCTTTTTTTATATTTTATTATACGAATTATATTTTAATATTTTAAAATAAATTATCAATAAATTAAAATTGATATTATATTATTATAAATTTAAAATATATTTATATTTTTAAAACTATTTATTTATATTAATTTAAATATAATTTATATTTTTATATATTTAAATATAATATTTATTTATACACATAATTTATTTTAAATTTTAATTCTATCTTTATATATAAAATACAAAGAATTATTATGCGTGAAAGTGGTCAGAATTTTTTTTCAATAAGAATATTTTTGAAAACTTTCTTTTATTATAAATCTAAATATAATATATATTTTTTAAAATATTAAATTATTTAAAATTTAAATATAATTTATATTTTCAAATATAATATTATTTAATTATATGTATAATTTATTTTAAATTTTAATTGTATATAATAAATATTTAACATGTATGGTATACAAACTAAAATATTAGTTATATATATATATATATATATATAAATAAATTATACTACATATAAATACTAAAAATTATACTCATTGTCATTTTAACTTAGTAAAAAGTTTTGTATCTTAATTTGATAGCATTATAACAATATAATATATTTATTTTAAATTTTATTTTTGTATTAATTAATGTTGAAGTTTTTAGTCAAACATAATATAAAAAATTAATAAATTTATTTTAGAATTTAACTTGTATCATTGTTTATTTTATACGTTGATAATATTAAATTTGCAACAATGTATCAAATGATTTACATCTATTTTGAAATATTTAAATTTTTATAAAAAAAATAAATATAATTATATTGACCTGATTGACCTAATACGTTCGTGATTTGGTTGGGTTGGATTAGGCTTTTTAAAAAAAATTTCACAAATTCAACCCAACCCAACTCATTAATTTTTTATTGAGTTGGATAACAGATTTATCCAGACAGAGCCCAATCTAACTGGCTTATACCACTATGTCCTATACTATTTTCTAATTAATATTCATATTTTTTTTAACTAATTAGAGTGTATGTTCTTTAAAGAGTTTATAATAATGCATTTTACAATATAAATTTGATCTTAAAATTTAACTAAAATAAGACACTCAAATTAGAAATATTTTATCTTAAAATACTTAATATACAACAGAATATAAATTTGGTCTTATATTAAAAAAAAAGTTAGATCTTATAAAATTAAAAAAAGAAGAATAAAGATAGTATTATATTTTTTAATATTTTTTAAAATGATACTTCATACAAATAACATAATTATTAATATATATATATATATATAATACTACATAAAAAAGATAAAATAATACTTTAAACTTATTTTTTCATTTTACACAAACTTATTATGAATTATAAAAAATAATATTCATAATTAATTTGCATAAATTAGAAATATTAAATAGATATTTTTTTGATAAATATATAAAATATTATTATATATTAACAAAATATCTTTATTTAATATTTGATTACCAGTAACAATAATTATTATAGTAAATATTAAATAAAGATATAATTGAAAAAAAAAATAGATTTTAAAATTCTAAGACATCAATTCTTTTGAGATAAAATAACACAAGGCTAAAACATTTTTTTAATCAATTTTTTTATTGACTTTTTTTTATTACAATTCTATTTTCTTAAAAATTTGGTCCAAGGAAACAGAAAACGAAGGCCGAAAGGCTGGCTACTAGATGGCGATGACTCTTGTGTCCATTTTTTTTTAGTGTTTTTGTTTTTAATTTCTAGGTAATGCCAATGGAAGTAATGGGCCACTGGTAGAGCCTAACTGCCGAGTGAGCAAAGAGCTAAGGTTTTATAGATCGGTTTGAATTCGAGAGAAAATGAAATTCGAATCAATTAATTTTTAATTATTTTTAAAAAAAATATTAATTTAAATAAAATTAGCCTAATTAGTTATAATCAAATTAAATAAATTGGTTTGAGTCATTAGATACTTAATAAAATAAAATAAAATAAAAATTGTTTTGAAAAATTAAAAACACTAAATTGATGGGTAATGTTTAAATAAGAGAATCTAAATTATATATTCGAGTATAATTGACTTATATAAATTATTTAAAAATATAAATAATTAAATAAATCATACTACTCTATGTAAATAATAGAAAGAAGAAGAAAAAAAAGACAAAATGTTTGATATAGACCAAAATGTTTAACATATTTATATATACTAAATTGTCTAAAAGAAATCAAATCTACAAACATACACTTAATTTCCCAAATACACAAAGTTACATATATACTTTGTTAACCAATAAAAAAATTACATAAATAGTCAATTTGGTTTGAGTGTTAAAAGTTTAAATTTAATACTAAAATCAATCAATATCAAATTTTAATTGGTTTAGTTTAGATCTAATTTAAATTGAGAAATTAAGAATCCAAATCAATTTAATTGGGATTATCGATTTTGTCTTGTTAATCCTAATTGATAAATACATGTTAGGTCAAAAGATAATATTGAATCCCTCAATATATAAGTTTTTATGATAACGAATTTAAATTTTTTAGATGATACTATAAAATAAATAATGATAGATGATTGATTATTTTGACATTAAGCATCTCAAACAAATTAGTTCATCTATAAGGAAAAAAATATTAAATATATATCATTTATGATGCTTACAACTAAATTATCTTTGTCTATCTTATTCCTTAATATATCATAAGGAATAAAAAGTTCTTTTTGGCTTGTACTACAAAAGGAACACATACATGCTTTGTGTTAGAGAATGGATAAGAAAATTCCTCAAAGCATGTGAAGCTTTAAGAAAAGTCATTTCTGACTGACACATACAACAATTCCTTTCTTTTAGTACCTTAAACGTGATAAGTAGCTTCCTTAATTAGATAAAAAGCGAATATTCGATGAAACGCATTTATTTTCCACATTTAATACACCAACATACACTTCCCTCCATAAGGAGCATAGATGAAGACAGACAAAGCAAACTTGAGAGAGATGTTCAAGGATTTACAACGGTTAGCTTCATAAAACATCTATATAAAAAAAGCTTGAAGATTCAAAAAGAATCAAGAACAACAATTTTAAAAATTTGTATACATTTTTTCTATAAAAGTTTTACACTTAATTGGTTGTATCATGTTGTGACACCCTCTAACTGTCATGTCATATCACATAATCAAATACAAAATTGAATTATCTTGTATAAATAAAACAACTCAAACTCCATACAAGTAGAAAGAATCACATTGGTAACATAAACTAACTTGAGGAAAAAATAAATTACAAAGGAAATAAAATAGCATGAATCAAATCCTAACTAGTTCTAACTACTCCTACTACAAAAAAAAAAAAAAAAAAAAAACAAATTACCGGATACAAATCTGTCAGAAAATTTATATTTTTGATGGATTTTATCGATGAAAAAATTCATAGGAAAAGTTATATTATCGACGAATAATTTTTTATGGATACAAATCTGTCAAAAAATTTATATTTTCAATATTTAATTTCCAACGGATACAAATCTGTTAAAAAATTTATATTTATGACGAATAATTTCTAATGGACACAAATCTGTCAAAATATTTATATTTCTAACGAATTTTATCAACGAATAATTTTCGACAGATACAAATCTGTTGAAAAATTTATATTTCCAATAGAAAAAAAAATTCGTAAAAAAAGTTATATTACCGACAGAATATTTCTAATGAATTTATAGTTGTTGAAAATGTAAGAATTTTCAACGAAAATTTTTGCCAGATGCTTAAGTCAAAATTTTCCAATGGAATGTTACTAAATAGATAATGGTTTGTCAAAAATTTGATTTATCAAAAATGTTTAATATTCTATCGTAAATTGCATCAATCATATATGTTTAATATTCCGTTTGATAACAATAAAGATGATTAAAATTAACAATCATATATTAAAAAAGATCAATAAAATTTTAACTATATATATATATAGAGAGAGAGAGAGAGAAAGAGATTTAATAACATCGGTGTAACTTTTACTAAGTATTACACCGCTCAATAACTTTATATTAAATGTGAATTTTGTAAATCTAACCGTTAGATTGAAAGTTCATATCACTTTATATGTTTATATCAAATTTTGTTAAAATTGAACAACAACTTGAAGGTAATCAAAGTGTTCATATTTTAGTATATTTTGAAATGTATATATTACGTCAATTTTGTTTTATAAGAATGAAGTATCTGTTAAGTCAGACGAAGCAATTCCCAGTAAGGTTTTGAATGAGACAAATATAATTCATATTGTTATCTCTAACAAATATGTTAGTGTTTCAGATAAAAGCATAAGTACAAGCAAACTGAAGAATAAAGAATATGCATGTACCACCTTCTACACCAGGACCAAGAAATATGAGCTAAGCACTAGATAAAGGTTGATCAAAAGAAGGAAATACATCAGATGAAGAGATCAAACGAAAACAGGCTCAACATAAGAAGGAAATTAGTAAAGCCTCAGATGATACAAAACCATAGACGATAGACAAACCCAAACCAAAGAATCCTAGACGGAGTCAAGAGCCTGCATAGTTGACCAGACGGAGACTCAAACAAACAGACGAAAATGAAGAATGCTAGATTGCGTCTGAAGTCACAACAAGAAGAACTACCTAGCATACACACTCTCAGAAGAACACATGAAGTCATCAAAATAAAAGAAGAGAGAAAAGAAAAATGGACAAACGTTTATCCACAAGTCAAAGCTGCATGTGTCAGAACAAGTACACCTACCAGTTAGTAAAAGACAACGCCTCTGCAGCTACAATGTCAAGGAAAGTACAGAAATGTCTAGGTCATAATTAATGCTAGACATAGAAGTAAACAAATGTTACAAAAGACTTTGTGAAACGCAGATTCAACAAACAAATATTTAATGCAAGATCAAATGCATTAAATGCAAAATCTACGAAGCTACTTTGGTATGTTTTATTTGATGCTAGAAGTATTGAAGAGTCTCACCCAAATTGATATTTGATTAAACCAATATTCAATGAAATATTTTCATATATAAAGTTGACTAATGAGGCAATAATTCTGGACTTTCTAGTTCCACTTCCACGGTTCCATCATGTTGCTTCTGATTTTTTTTAATTATATATATATATATATATATTTGATTAAAATTAAACCAATATTCAATGAAATATTTTCATATTAATGAAATTGATATTTGATTAAACCAATATTCAATGAAATATTTTCATATATAAAGTTGACTAATGAGGCAATAATTCTGGACTTTCTAGTTCCACTTCCACGGTTCCATCATGTTGCTTCTGATTTTTTTTAATTATATATATATATATATATATTTGATTAAAATTAAACCAATGACATATCACTAGAGTGAAAAAGGACGATAGAATTAAAATGGATAAGTTTTTTTTAATAGAAAGTTATTATTATTATTATTATTATTAATTTAGAGGAAGAATTTAGTCTCCTTTCTATGTGTCTATGCTCACTTTCTATCTTATGTTTAAGACATGAAATTTGCAAATGTCGAAATTGCACACCTTTTTGGGCGCAAAAAAGATATTATTCAAAAAGATTTTGTCCCGGATCAAGCTTTAATATCCAAGATTAAGGCTCACCATTAATCTTGGGGGATAAGTTTGGCCCCACGACCTAAACTTAATTACATGTAATAATTAGTTTTAGAAAAATAATCATTTTATTTTCAAGAAACTCGCATATGCAGACAAAAAAAGAAAAGAAAAAAAAAGTTAACCAAGCACGCACATGGAGTTTATGAAGTCACTTTTGAACTCTCAAACCTTTATTCTCGACAAAGCTTTTAGACCACTTTGGTCTTGATTGAATAAACTTATTGAAGTGAAATTGAAGAGGTAAAATGAATTAAATTTTTCCTTAAATTAAAATCAAATTGTGAATAAGTTTAAAATAAATTTTGAAAGTATCTTTCAAAATCAATTTTCAATGTGTTAAAATAATCTTTAATCAATGAAAGACACGTCTTATGAATACAAATTAATCTTTAATTATTAATTTTGTATATTGCATGTTATAGAAAAAAAATAACTTTTTGAAAAAGTTAAATCAATGAGATTTCACAAATTAGCTTAGACAAATTAATTTTAACAATAAAAAAAAAGGTTCAATTTATTTATTTCCTTATTACTTTCTCTTGGAAGTATTAGAAGTTTATCCTAACAAGAATTTAATGACAAAATGTTGCTTTAGCAGGTTAAACATTTTAACTATTTAAAATATTGATAACAGTTGAGTAAAGATGAATATAAAGGTTATGTAAAGACAGGTAAATCATCATCAACAGAGAGCTATAACAAAAAACTGATAATATAGCAACATATAGAAAAAGGCTTATGCTTTTATTCAAGAGAAACAAATGCATATTACATTGGTACAGCTCTGAGGAAATGAAGAACAGCTGGCAACATCATACATCAAAGGTGATATAAAAAGATAGCCAAGTTTTCAACAATAACACAACCAAAACTGACAACTTACCAGTGAACACGAAAAGACAAATGCTTCTATTCATGTGCAACAACAAGCACTTGTTTTCCAACATTGCGGCCGCTAAAGAGGCCAACCAAGGCTGCAGGTCCATTGTCAAGACCCTCAGCTATGTCTTCCACATACACAACCTTCCCTTCTCTGATATTAGGCAGAAGAAACTCCAAGAATTTGGGATATAGGTAAATAAAATCAATGAAGTTAAAGCCTTGCAAACGAACTCGCTTATATATGATATGTGCCAAATTTGCGACACCTTCATGTTGAGTAAGATTATACTGTGAGATCATTCCACATGCTGGTATTCGACCATGGAGTCTCATATTCAGGAGTACTGCATCAAGTGTCTTGCCCCCAACATTCTCAAAGTAAACATCAATGCCTTCTGGAAAGTGCCTGATTTGTATATTGGCATACACTAGTCACTACTGTACTATGTTTTATTACTAGGCACAAAAGTTTAAGGAGTTGTTTGAATAAACTTCTTCAAAAACATTTTTAGGAGAAAAAATAAGAAGGTAAAATGAAATAAACTTCTCCATAGGCTAAAACTAACTAATGCAATGATAAAAATAAGTTTTTGAAAAAAGTTAATATAAGAGAGTTTCTAATAATTAGTTTATACATAAGCTAATTTTAACTTTTAGAGAAACTTATTTCATTTTTATTTCTTATTTTTATCTCCTAGAAATGCTTTTGGAGAAATTTATTCAAACAGGCCTGTAAGTTTTTGATGGGCATAAAAAGGTGAGATCTAAATTTCTCTCCATTACAAAAGTGTTCAAGTATAGACCTTTTCAAAGCTGCATCAAGGTCAGGCTCTTCCTTGTAGTTAAAGCCTCCATCAAATCCAAATTTATTCTTCAGGAGATCGACCTGATTGTAAAAGACATATATTCAATTAAAAGGACCAAGTGTTTTTTTTTCCTCTCTAATAAAACTGAATCTATTTCAGGAGTTGGTCATCATAATCCTTTACTAAGTTCTGTTTCTATCATAAATTCAGGAGAAAAAATGTACTAAAGTTAATCTATGCCACAATTCATTTTTGTGAAACCCTTCTTCCATATTTTTTTTTTTTGTGCGGGGGAAAGAGTTGAATTCTGCAGTGTGAATACAAGGGTATAGAGTTTCTAACCGAATTTGTGTATAGAACCACATTAATACATTCTTTTGACATATGTAACAATATAATCTATTGAGTGTAAGTTATTTAATGTATTTTAATTCCATCAACAATCATTGAAAATGAAAATATATATGCAAGATGTCTCAGTTTTAGTAAATGTTTATAAAAAGAGAATATTGCTCAAGCTAACAAATTGGCAGAAATATTTATATAACTTCAACAACTACAACAATACCTTCTCTTTAGTTCCAGCACTTCCAACTACATAGCAATCATTCAGTTTAGCGAATTGCCCAACAAGTTGACCAACTGCACCTGAGGCAGCTGAAACAAAAACCTTCTCTCCTTTCTGGAGAGAGCCTACTTCGAACAGACCTGCATATGCAGTCACTCCGGGCATACCTGTGTTAAAAAGATGAAAATGCATTATCAAAACAAAACACACAGTAAAATGAAGAGGAGGCATGTATAGTCAGAATTTTTAAAACTAAAAAGTATAATGTGTGGATAGGAGTTCATCACAAAATTGCAGATGCACTGAATAAACAGAAATGAATTTAGCTACCAGCCTACTGCTTCCACTTGAAAATAAGACTAGTCTAGTGAATCATGATCAATAAAAGAAAATAACTTTAACTGAACAAAAGAAACAAATGGAAAAGGAATAGGAACAAACAGCCAGAAAACCAAGTCCTACACAGTATGTTTCTTCTATGATGCTTAACTCTTAATCTTAATGATGCAAGAATAAAGGGGGCTCTTTATTACATAAAAACTTCATATCTTGAGAAAAGCTACACAATTAACATGATTCTTGCTTTCAAGCTAGCCATGATCATCTGAAGAGGCAGAAAGTATAATCACAAAATATAACAAAAAAAAAACCAGCAAAAATAATTACTATAAACTGAGGAGATTACGATCCATGAGGCTGTGGCAGATAAACAAGAACAATGAACTTTCACTTCCAAATGAGTATAAAATATTTAATATTTTTTCTCCACCAAAATGAAGCTTGTTAACTAAATACTCCATGAATCAAAAGACCAATTCAAGCCATATATATAATCTTTCGTGATACATTTCTTCCATGATAACAGTTATAAACCATTATCTTGTTGACAGAATTTGATATCCATTCATCAAAAAATGTCCATAAATTGCAACATCCAGTTGATATTGATACAGAATCAAATCAAGTACATCCTTCATTCAAAGACAATAAAATCTGAAATTATTGAATCATACCAAGAATTCCAGTGTAGTAGGTAAGTGGCACATCAGTGTGCTCAATTTTGAAAAGTATTTGAGCTGAGGGTAACAAGCTATACTCTTCCCATTTGGTAAAGCCCCACACCAAATCACCCTCCTTATAATCTGGGTGTCCAGATTCCAGAACTTTAGACACACCATATCCTGTTAATGGCTGCAATCACTCAACAATTATCACTAGCTGCATAGATATAAGCTTCAAATGAATTTTCTTTGTTGCACATTCTTTGATTAACGTCAATCTAATTATAAGGGCTCGTTTGATTCCCTATTCACCTTTTGGTTTTAAAAATTGTTTTTCTAAAACAATTTCGCACTACTAAACAATCAACACAGCTAGGAGATGTTTTGTCTCGCACCACCCTCCACCAGCTGTGTAAGCAACCTAATTTAGTTGCGTTTTGAAAATAAAAATCAAACATATCCTAAAATGCTAATCACCCAAATTACAAAAAATTAGGGATTTTTAAGCACAAATTGCAAAACCCACTTCCACATAATATGCATCAATTCATTCAAATTCTGAAACAAAGAATATTCAGTAATCAGTACGCGTGTTAATTAAAAAGTTTAATTTATACAAATTAGTCTCCAATACGATCAACATGCAAACAATTTTGTCTTTCAAAGATTGATTCATACAACCAAAAAATATATAACTTTAAATAAAAAAAGAAAAAAAAAAAAAAAAAAAAAAGCAACATACTTTAAAAGATCATGACTTACGGAGCCAGGAGTGTAAGAACGAGGATTGGGAGGGCCTTCAGGCTTGTTCATAAGATTCCTCATGTATGGGTCACAAGACAAGTAGAGATTTTTGAGCAGGACATCATTGGAACCTTCTGGAACCTTCAAAGTTATTGTACTTTCAACAATGTTCATGTCGGATTCTTTAGGAAAACCAGTGACATGGTCCCTTAGAAGCACTTGCTTGTTCCTCACTTGCGCCATCTTAGTTACTGAATTGGGTTTGTTCAGTCTCAATTCATTTCAATTTATAGAGAAAAGAATAAGGGAAATCATGAAAGTGAGATAATGATCTTAAATTGAAAATGACATCAGCAATAATGACGTCGTTGACAAGGGAGTTATCTTTTCTTCCTAGTTCCGATACTGCCCTTGGTAATGTAAAAAATGCAATATAATTTTAATTTATTCCTTACACATTAAATTTAGTTAGTGTTATATAATTATTTTAATCTTTTTCTATCAGTTATATTAATAGTTATATTAATGGTGATATGAGAGACTTAATTTTGGTTTTGAAATTATCATAATTAAAATGATCAATTTTAATTTTGAGAAATAAAAAATAAATATTTTAAATTTGAATGATTAAAAATATATTTAAATCCTTAAAATATTAGATTTAATAAATGTTTTGTAGATTAGTTTTGATTGTACTCTAATTGGTCTCAACTTAGTTTAATATTGTATATCTTTTCAAAACGTATATCTTTTAAATAAATATGTTTATTTAATATATAATATTTTGTCTAAGATGTTATAATATTAATACGGTTATCATTTATCTTAAAATGTATATTATAAAATATACTTTAATTATAAGTATATACTTTTTAATTATATGATTTAACTATATATAATGTTAAAATAAATATATTGTGTCAATAAGATAGGTTAACCTGATCTATCTCAAATATTATCATGTCTTGATTAAATCGGCTTCGAGTTCATAAAATTGTCCCTATCATAAATTTGGATTGTGTAGGGACATATTTAAACTCACCCTGATTTTGTTCCATGAAAAAACTTAATCTCATACATGTGGTTAAACTCGGCCAAGGTACTTGGTAAAGCAGGTCAATAGATGAACCATGAGTCACCAATTGAACCGTAAAAAATGATGTTATTAAATATATAATTTTAAATAAAAAATATAATATAAAAATTATTTAAATTATATCATAAATATATTAATTAATTTTGTTGGTGTAGTGGATCTAAATGGTGGATTGGAAATGTTTCCACTTAGCCCTAAGCTCCTCAATCAACCACCTCTATTGCTTCACGGTTCATGTTGTTGCTAAATCAATGTAGTAGCGTCAAGTCCTCAACCACAAAGATCATTGTTGAAGCAAATGACAATGCACACTCCATCATAGGGTCCATGGATAAATAGGGGCATGGGGCACAAAGTACAAATATCAATGCCTAGTATAGAAGGAATTGGAGGAAGTGCAACAACTGTTACACTCTAATATTGCTTAATAGAGGTCTCCACATGATCAAATGGGAAGATGTTCCCCAAAGTTTCCATTAATGTTCGAGTGAAGAATACATAATGTACCCATAAGCAGTTTCTCTAACAAAGTAATATACAAGCAAAGAGGATTGATGGTGGAGGTCAGAGATGATAATGAGTAGAGTTTGAATATAGTATTACAGTACGTCTCCATAATTGCATTTGATAAAAGTACTTGTACTTGCCCTTATATTTGTACGAGTAACAACTTTAATCACTATCCTGGGACCTTTTGGACACACACACACACACACACACACACACACACACACACACACATATATATATATATATATATATATATATATATATATATCTATGTATATATATATATATATATGTATGTATTTATCTTAGGGAAGTTAAAAAGGTTCAATCCAACGAGTTAACCCATATAACCTAATCAAATAGGTTGGGTTGGGTTACACTTTTCAAGCTTTCAATCCATATAACCCAATCTACATAACCCTTTAACTCGACGATTAATTGATGGGTTGATGGAAACCTACTTCCTAAATTATTGTGGAAGAGATAAGACCAAGAATGATGAAGGATGATAAAGTTGGTTTGAAAAATTGTAGAACACTTACTCTTATTTTGTAGGATACCCTACCTTTGGAGGGCTATGCTACCTTAAAGGACTCTTATAGTTGTTGTACATTTTTCTTATTTGTAATTCATTTTAGTAGTGATTGTATTAGGATATTTTTGGCCTTGTATTTTGGGTCAAGTAGTGTAGGTAATTTTGTCCTTGTATTACTTGAGAGTGTAATTAGTAGATTAGAGGAGGTGTAACTAGTAAAGTTTTGTTAGGCTTATTTGGGTTTGGATGGCCCAAACCTTTTTTATGGCCCATAGGTTTGGATGTCCACTTACTCATGCAAGTAGTTTGGGTGTCCAAACCATGTGAAGCTTGTCATCCAAGCTACAAATTAAGTCACATGGCTTTGGTAGTACAACCTCAACAAACTTTTAAAAGTAATCATTAGTTTAGTCTAGTAGTTGTAATGATTAGGTTAGGTAATTGGAGTTAACTTAAAACTAACCTAGGTTATTCTTAAATTAGGATTAGCTTAGCTTGTTCTATAAGCTTCTACACAACTAATTAGACTTGTAAATATTTAACTAGAGTTAGTTAGCTTAAGTACAAGATAGTTAATCATGGTTACACCTATGGTTAGTTTAGCTTGCACCATAAGCCAACTAAACTGTATATTGTATTTTTGTCCATTTTGTAGGAACTTTTGATGTATATTCAAAATTTTGGCTGAGAATTTCTCTTTAATTTCTCTCTCAAAAGTTTAAATTCTCTATTTGATTTGCTTCCAATTCTCTTATCCTCTTTCTAAGAGTGTAGTGAGATTTTGAAGTAGTTAATTTATCTTTTACCTTAAAGTGACACCACTTGAAAAGAGTTCTTCACCTTTGAAGGTGAGTCTAGAAATTTCCTCCTCCATTAGAGACCTTGAAGAAGCTTGAGGGGTGTCAATAAGGAAAAGATCTAGGAAGAAACTTGAAGGAGAAGATACAACAACCAAGTTCCTCCTTGAGGTTTCCATCATGAGTTGGGTTGGGTTGATTCGTTGAGTAAACATATATTTTTCATTGATTTTTATCTATTGGCATTGACTTATAGTATTTTAATTGTGGTTCATTTGCATATTAAGACATATTTGTGATTATATTGTTTACATGTTTCATCATTGTTGATGGATTTATTTGTAGTTGTACTTCAAACTTTTTTTAATGTTGATGAGCTTATTTTATTATTGTTGATAGGATTATTTAGTATTTTTCACTTTGAGCATTCAAATAATTTGATTCATTATTAGTTTTATAACATTTTTTTCTCTCTTTTTAATTATATTTGATCATAAAATTTGAAAAAAAATTAAGACAAATAAAATAAAAATAATGTATATAATTTTTAATATGTTGATAGGGCAACCCAATCCTACTCACAACCTGTAACCCACCAATAACACATTTAATGAAATTTAATGTTAGTCTCATTTGAAAGTATATGTTTAATGCATAAAGATAGATTACCTTCATGGATAATATGTTTTTGCGAATTTTAAAATTCGCCAGAAATTATCTTACGAAATTTCTTGGAAAAAAATTTGTAGGAAAATTTCCTCGGAATTTTTTCCCAAGAAATTTTGCAGGAAAATTTCTTACGAAAAAAATCAAAGAAATTACTATAAATTCTATTAGTAATTCTTCAACTTTCAAGTTCTCATAATGAATTCATCCAAAGCATTAAGAAATTTGCTTCCACGCCTCCAACATGTGATAAATAACCTTTTAAACTCTTAGATTGTAGATTATAAGTCTAACACTCAACCATACAAATCAACTTGTAAGGTAAATGTTGCCCCAACTTATAAACTTGAAGTTTTCCTTAAATATTAATTAGATCATGTCTTTAGAAAAATGATTAATTCATTATATATTGAACAACAAAATTATATTATTATAAATTATTTCAACTCTTAAAATATTCAATATTCTAAAAAAATAGTTTTTTTATTAAATAATTTTATTTTAAAACTATCATTAAATTAAAACTCATTATCATTAATTTACACATTTAATTAAAATAAATATTTAATTTATTAATATTTCAAATTAAAATTAATTTTTACGAAATATTTATAAATGATTTAGTAAAATAATATTTTATTAAGTAAATACTTTAATTTTAAAATCTTATAAATTACCATTAAATTAAAACTCATCATCATTAATTTATCATATTTATAAAATTTTATATATTTAATTTAATCAAAATCAAAATTAAAATTAAAATTAATTATAATGATATATTTATAAATAATTTAGTAAAATAACATTTTTAATTAAAATTTTGTTAATTATTAAACTTATAAATGTAAACATTTTTTTAAAATTTTTTCTACGGATTAAAATTGGCAGGAAAAGTTTCTTGAGATTTTTTTCTACCATTTAGTAAACATTACTTGCGAATTTATGTTTCCAAGAAAATATGCAAGAAACAAATTAAAATTCGTACAACATTTTCTACAAATTTTTCCCATGGAAATTTTTTTTATGATCATTAAAATTGTAGTAAAATTTGTAAAAATTTCTAGTAGATTATTTTTCATAAAAAAATTTGTAAGAAATATTTGTAAATTATTTTTTGCAAATAAATTTGTAAAAAAAAATTGTGAAATTATTATTGTAATTAAGGAAATTTGCAAATAAATTTTGCGAATACTTTTTTGAAGGAAAATTCTTAAGAAAATGATATTTGTCTAGTAGTTTTTGCTTAAAAAATCTTTCATTTGTTATTATTAAAACTTGAAGGGTCCAAAATTGTCTTTTGACTTAACAATCTCCAAGGCAACAGGCACAATTTCTACAGTATGAAGTTATTCCAAGCACTCCTCACCATTGTCTTATAGGATTTTCTTAACATGTACTCTTAGGATTTTCAGAAAACTGATGTGTATGACCTAACCATTCCTCCTCTCTATTAGTAATAAGACTCTAGGTTTTACTCAAGAGTCCAAGCCCAAAAGTTTCCCACAAATCAATAATCTATCTTTATTTTAATAAAAATCCAATGCTTATATATTATGAGCTTTATTGATCTATGATATAAATATCATTAAAATATTTTTTTATTTTCAAAAAATAGGATGTTACATTTTACACTTCACACTTCACATTTATAAAAAATGAATAATTAAGGAATTGGACGAAAAATAAAATAAAATAAACAATATTATAACAATTAAAATATGTTTTTAAGAGTAAAAATATGCATATAATGTTATGAAAAAGAAATATTCATAAAACATTAATCATAGAGAAAAACAAATATCTGGTTAATAAATTATCTAAGAGTATTGAAAAATTAATTTAATAAATCAGCTAAGAAAATTGATTAATAATTTTAATGAATTACTTACAGAAATGATAAATAAATATAGAACATAATGTATTAAATATTTTTGATAATTTAAAAATTTCTTATTTTGTAAAAATATAAAAATTATCTGATACGTATTATTTTAATTAATCGAAACCATTTAATTATTGAGTGTGTTAAAGGACAATGGTTACATTAAATAATTAAGTTCCCATAATCGAAAGCATAAAATTATAAACTTTTAGTTCCTAATAATCAAGGAAAGATTAAAAGCAAATGATTTGTTTTATTGCATGTAATAAGTAGATAAAAAACTAAATTAGTTTTTTATTCAAAATGTCTTTCTTATTCTTACAACGCAAATGCTACTATAAATAGCCTATAAAATTTGGTAGCATCTTTAGATCAGAACCTTCTTACATAGGTTAATTAACAAGATCAATTAGCATCTAATGTGATAAATCTTCACTTCACTTCAAGTTCCTGAATTCATTTGAACAGGGAGATTTTTGGAACAGTGTTAGTAACTGATCCATGTGCATTGTAGTAAGAAGCATAGGCTGATTTTCCTGGTTGCGAAGATACAATGTCAACATTATCAAATACAATATTGAAACAACCCAATGTGCTACATTTCAAGAGTATTGCCAAGTCCTTAGCCGAAGTTCCAACAAATCCACGATAAGTCACTTCGCTCACCATCACTGCTTGCTCCTATTTAATTTTACCCAAATTCAAAACATAATTGAGGTAAGCAATAAATAATAGACAAGTTAAAATGACAATAAATAATATGAACATAAATATTTATTCATGTTTTTACCGATGAACTTAGTTGTTTAACCCCATAGTTCTGGTCTATAATGATTGGATTTTGAGCATTTTTTAGTATGATTTGGTCGAAAGTGATTTTTCTTGCATAACCTGATCCACCCTGTATGAAATTGGACATGATATAAAAAAAGAACACTTAATTAGTGAAAGAAATGGAAAACAATAATTTATTGAGAATATGTAATGCATATTTTTAAATAATAAATGAAACATGATTAAATAGGAAATAAAATCAAAAATCAAAATACTTTTCATTATTGAATTTTATTGAAAGAATAAGTAATGTGATTTTATTTTCAATTTAATAAGGATTAATTTATTATTTAGTGAAACTCAAATAAATTTTAGAGTTTATAACAAGAATGTAATATTAGAGTAGAAGATTTTATACCTTCAAATGGTTAAAATTTATCTTTGTACCTTATTTGAATAAATTCTCAATATGCATTAACTAAAAAAGAAAAAAAAAAGAATAAAATTATACTCACACCCCCCCCCCCCCCC